TCAGAACATAGTTGAGGTCTTTCAGTGGTAGTGTCGAAAGCCATGTTGAGGCTCCCTTCTCTCTTGCTTGGTCTAAGTGGTTCTTTAGTTGATGATCTGATTCTTTGTGGAGCACCTTGAACCTTTGAGAGAGAAACTCCTCTTTCTGTTTCCTCAGTTCTTCTTTCTTTTCTTTTATCTTGCCCATGTCCAGCTTGGTGATATCCGGGTCTTGTTGGTTGATCAAACTCACGTGGTCTTTAGTTACCGCTACTGAGTAAGCATATTCACGGGATGTTATTCTGACAGGATTGATGATGCCTAGCCCGCCACAACGAACAGGAAGTTCGAGGATATCTCTCTCATGCTGGTTGACTGGACGACCGAGGAGGGCTGGAATGAGCACATGCATGATCTTGCTCTCCAGTGGGGCAAAGTACTCTGCAATGTCAGGTATTGTTCTCATGAAGAACCTCCATCGGTGGCATATTCCTTTGGTGAAGGCTGAATAAGCCAGCTGTAATTCTTCAGAAGCGATATCAGCAAGTTGTTCAATATCTGTTATCCATTTCTCAACTTTTTCTTTGATGTAATCTTCCCTGTATTTCTTTGATCCTACCACTGCACCAAGGTGACGTTCTCCAGATGTCGTGATCTTAACTCCAAGAATGAATACAAACAGTTAAACGGATACGGATTTTATTGAAGGGTATTCAAGATTTTCATTCAGAATTAAAAATTTTTTTCATTCAGAATTAAAAATTTTTTCATTCAGAAAAAAAAAATTTGAAGAATTCCGAGCTCCAAGCCAAGTTTAACGCTATAGCTGAAAGATGTGGCACCTCCTCTAAGAGAGCACTACTAACAGCAAGAGAAAAGGGAGCGTCCAGTTGGCTTAACACATTGCCACTTCAGCAGTATGGCTACACTCTGAACAAAGAGGAGTTTCGAGACAGTGTCTGCTTACGCTACAGTTGGTGGATACCAAACAGTCCCATCACCTGTGGATGTGGGAAAACAAGTGATCTTGACCACCTTCTCACCTGTAAGCTAGGGGGCTACGTGATAATGACCCACAACAACATCAGAGACACAATGGCAAATCTACTTCGTGAGGTATGTCATGATGTAAAAGTTGAACCCCAGCTACAGAAGGTGAATGAGGGTGACTGCCTCAACCCCAAGACTATAACAGGTGACCAAGCTCGGCTTGATGTATCTGCTAGAGGAGTTTGGACTCCATTTGATAAGACCTTTCTTGACATAAGGGTTTCACACCCCAATTGCTTATCAAACAGGACAAAAACTCTTCAAGAAGTATACGAAGAGAACGAGAAAGAGAAGAAGGACGAGTACTTGGAGAGAGTGTTGAATGTCAATGAAACAAGAAATTCAATGAAACAAGAAATTTAATTTTAGCACATTTTTACAGAATAAAAAGATGTAAAACAATTCATAAAATATAATGCCCATTTAGTGTATGACTTTTTGTCCTGACTGCTAGTTTGGTTTATGAAGGACAGGTAACTAACGGGGCAAGGAATGCGCGTGCCTGGAAGCTTTTGCACACACCGAAACGCTAGTTCAGTTAAGTTTTTAGAGACTAGGCTCAGATTAGGACTAGAAGAAAAATTGTTAGCAGACATTAGAGGTTCTGTTTATAATTGTTACTATAGGTTGCAGTCTTGTTGTGACAAAAAGTCTACACTAAAACATGATTTAGTTTATATTTAGGATATAAAATGCAGCTTCAAGGTGGATATTGGAGAGCTGGTGAAAGATTATGGCCTTTGTATCAATTGTTATAATAAGCTATAAATATCTTAAACTATACAGTGCTAATTAAAAATTTCTTTAACCTTCATTCTCAAATTAGATTTTAAAAATTCAAAAATAAATATACAATGATTTTATTAAAACTTTCTCACACATACTTTACTCACAGGACAAGACTTGGAAAACAGTGGCCTAGCGTAATTTTAATTGAGATGTGTGTGACCAGCCAGTTATGTTTGGACAATAACATTTGTGCAGTCAAAATCTTTGACGGTCCAATCAAGCAGGGCGTGATTATGTTGATTAGCTAATAGCGCACGTTTTAACTTACCTCGCAAGCACATTACACTAGTAGTAAAGTCAGTCATTCTGAACTTTGGGGTTAAAATGTTAAAAATTTTGGTTGATCTAGTGTTGTGATTGTCAGGTGGGTCTGCCTGACAGATTAGGCAGACCTAAGGGGTGAAAGGCTACCTCGACCCCGGCTGTATACCTCACATCTGGAGGAATGTCTAAAGAGTGTAAGCAGTTCGTCAACAGAGTAGCAGACCTCATTGCAAGAAAAAGGAAGGAAAGGTACTGCGATGTAGTAAGACACGTGAGAACTAGGATAAGATTTGCAATGTTGAGAACAACTCTTATTGCTCTACGAGGGTACCGAGGAAAGAAGGTGGACACCAAACGTGAGATTCAGCTATCAGAAGTTTCATACAACCTCATCCCTGCCCCTATAATGGAGTAGATCATGTGTTTTGTTAAAATGATTTTGAAAAAAATTATTAGTAGCAATGAATTGTGCTCTGCCAATTGCAACACTTAAAATTTGATTGTGCTCTGCCAATTGCATCACTTGATTTAATTGAATGTATATATATACTGTTTGACATATTTTTCTTTAAGAATAATAACTTCAATCTAAAAAAAATAGTCCTTCTAAAGCCATGGTGTTTTTGTTTAACTGAAATTTTTGGTTAATACTGAAAAAAAATTAAAAGCATTTGCATCGTCCATCAAGTGTAAATAAACAAATTTAAAAACACATCAGTGTATAGTTTTGACGATGCGCATTTAAATTAAGTTAAAGTTGCAGACAATTGTAAAAATTAAAACATAGGAAGGTTAAGCATTAAGGTTACACTCAAAAATTATTTACCCAGCTTCAAACTTAATGATCTGTGATTCACGAAACCTAGCTTGCTAGTTTCTCGCTCGGTCCACTTCGCAATATTGAATATAGAAGTGCAAGAAGCTCGAAAAGATTGTCGTGCATAGGAATAGGTGAGCATGGTATAAACATGAACACAAAACGTAGAAATGCAGGCGCGCCTGATTTTGCTCTATCCAGAGCCCTCTCGCTTGTTGTATCACGTGGTGACCCCCACAGTCGCTTCACTATAGTCTTCGACGATACAGGGGGAGCTGCGCACTTCGTGCGCGGCGGGTCATACAACGTATGACAACTCGCTTGCAGTAGCGCACGACCGCCGAAACAAGCGCGTCATGCAGTAAGCGTAGACACATGGCTATGTGAACGCCTGATTTAAAAAATTTATTCTCCATGGCCATATTGAATAATTGACGGATAATAATCGTTTAAATTTTTTGCAAGTACCGCATGCCACTTTTTTCTTGAAATAAAATGGTATGGCCCGAGGCAAATTGTTATTAGTTCTAGTTATATCACAAAGTTGTAAATTGATTGCTTATTAAGTCGCGCACGGGGTTGGAAACAATATCAAAATTTAATTTTTTAAATTTTTATGTTTATTGTCACGTTTTCACATAGCCATGAGTCTACGCGACAATGCGTAAAATAAACTTGCGAACGCGCGCGGCGCGAGCTTGGACACGCTGTGAAGACACGATCGAATGACGAATGACCTGTAATACACAGGGGGACTAATAGTGCAAATAAACTGCTGCTAGCTGCTGCTAACTGCTGTTAACTGCTGCAAATGGCGCGCGCCATTTGTGGTGCTAAAATTTCGCTCAACTTTCTGAAGCCGCGCATAATTACGTGTTGTAATGTACAATATTTAAATAAAATGTTTTGTTGCATTAACAATTTGTCCCATAATTTAGTGTTTTGACGTTGTTTAAAGAAGTCAATTTTATTTTAATGATGTATTCATATATCATATATAATGTATTTTTACTTATTTTTACTACTGAAAGGAATTTTTATATAGTATAGCTAGGGTCATTGCTATATTATGTGTATATTGTCTGAATTTCTATTCTTACTTATTTTTATAATCTTGATACATGTTAATTTCCATTATTTCTTGTTTTATTCTTCATATAGCAATACAGTATAGTACTATAATAATATGTTAACATTACATTAAAATGTTCATGTACTGAAGCATAAATAAATTTTTGCTCTTTTAGCAGGTCCCCTCCTCATTTAAATGATCAACTAAAATAATAATGATCTAACTATTACACGTAATCGATATTCATACAAAGACTTTGTAAATTCAACTAAAATGCTAGGTACACCTGAGTATGACCTATACTAGTAAAAGTACAATTAAGTGTGCTTTCCACTGCTATAAAAGTTAATAAAAGGTTTTTACCGATGTAAGGGTGATTCCTAAGTTATTCAATATTCATTATGTTTCTCCTTTAAGGTGATCGTTCGTGCAGTGGTCAGACTGCTATCGTCCATAAAAGTTCGAGTTGGTATTGGTGTGTCATCCTTGATGTACTCAATGCTTCTCGGAACCTTAGATTTAGGTGTTCATGCCAGGTTTCTTGCACAAGACAAACAAGTGACTGATATCACACACCCCATGAAGATTCCTATCTCAGAAATCTGCTCGCCAGTATGATGTCACCGTTCTTGAGGAGATCATTCGAATACCCCGGGAAGTACAGTAGGGATAATGTTGATACCTTCTCAGGGACGATGTAGAAGGAGGGCCCTGGCAATCAGAAAATGGGGTACCGATCCGTAAGCGTTAGCAGTCAAGCCTCTACACTCGATCCTTCTTCTTGAACCTTTGCCTCACTTCAGTACCTCACCTATGGCACTCCAAATGCTCCGTGCACCAAGGACGCCTGACACACCACCTTCTGTATAGAGAGGTCTACATATCCATTTCGAGACAACAAAAGATGGTCATACTCATTAGACAGATCGCCAAATAGATCTTCCCTTGAATGTTACCAGGGAAATAGGCCGTCCTAAAATGGTGTTAAGTCGCCATCAGCCTTTGGGATGTAGGAACCCTCGATAATACCTACAATTGTCCAGGATTTTCTTCTAACTTATCAGTCTTAGCAGGTCCAGTGATTCTTAGGCAAATACCAGGACATCTCTTGTACTCTGTGTACGGGGATCCGTTGTTAACCGGGGCACTCTTGCTCCTTGCCTTCTTTACAACCTCCTCAAGTTCCTTCTTGGATTCCGTTGGAGGTCAAAGGGCAACAGAGGGTTCAGGTGCAACTTCAGCAGACCTCAGTATACCATGGGGCTGCTGCCGCTGGATCTCGTATGTTCTGGCCAAGTGATCATCTAGATCTCTTTGAACTCCTTAAGATCACCCACTGGACTTGGATTTAGCACTCCCTTGACTGTCTTGAAAGGGTTCGACGTCCAAAATAACCCTCTAAATATCCTTATCTCTCTCTGCTTCTGTCTACCTTTTCTCAGCCCTCCTCAAAGTCATCAAAAGACAGCACCAACACTCTCAATAAATAATTTTTTATTAACGGTTAACCGTCATTCTAGAGGTGGGCGCGAAAAATCAGCGTTTGGAACTGTTTCTGCTTGCCTAAACACTGTTATTCTACACCTAGCTTCAAAATGGTTTATGAATATGATAGCCTGGTGGTCCCCTTCTAAAAAATATAATTGGATAATGAAAAACTAGTTTAATTGAAGTAACTGCAACCACAAGAACCTCTTAAATTTCGAGCGGAGAGCATAGACCATTATAGAACACGACACACATGTTCTCAGCTATAATATATGAGTTATTATGATTTAATTTGGTAAAGGCTTACCAGGGCATGGAGGATTCACAAAACCCACCATCGAGGATCATGAGTTTCCTCGCCATCAAACTCCAGGGCCTGCTACTCTTGAGGAAAATGACGGACAATGTATAATGAAGGGAATTTCTAAAAGTAAAAGAAAATTTCTCAGATCATTTATATTCCAAAAGCCTTTAATTGCAGTTTTATTGTAGATTTTATTAAAATTATAATAAGTGTTTGTGCCCTACCTTGTGCTGACTTGATAACAATTGATTTATGGAAAACATATAAGATCTCAGTTATTGTATGACATAACCGTCTGGATTTCTGCCAATAGTTACTCTTCCAGTCTGAATCAGGGTAAGCTGAAAAATGTTTTTGTAATAAGTTATTTGCTGAAGTTGGTAGTGTTGTGAACTAACCAATTTGCTTCTGTCGAGAGCCCTTTTAGAAAAATTCTAAGTTTGGGTGTAAAATTATTTAAGACGCTCGATAAATAGAGTACATGTCTTCTTCCAAATACGAATAATTTGGATATGAATAAATATATTCTGGATTATGTGTAATTGTGGTCGCCTGTGGGTGAGACTAGCTTATACCTGTTGTGCCTTAGAAGCACAAAGAAATACTTACTGTCTCAGGAGTTTCTGCGTCGGGGCTTGAGAGGTCCATCTCTGGCAGAAAGTGTTCATAATGTGTGACGATACAGTTCCCCTGTATTCTATTCCTTTCAATCCGCTTTATCAATTACAATAGTCTGGAGCTGGAGTTAAATCCATTTGTATTATTTTAGAAACGTTAATAATGTATAAAGTAGTTTCTTGTTAGAAGAAATGCTCCGAAGGAAGAGACTAACATATAAAGAGCCTTGAGTTTGACAGTGAAGTAGCATCTAAGTTACTTTGAAAAGGAGTTACAAAGATAATAACGAGTGCGTGGACTTGTAAACCCAACAGGACTGAAAGACCTTGACACACCTAATTGGATCTGCAGTACAGTGCACCCACATGGGATGAATTCCACCTAAAAACTTTAGTCAAGGAGAAATAAGTCAGCAAAGGGTCAAATGTGTCAACTACCTGATGCTACAAGAAGTGTCGAACGTTCAGTCACACTCCTACACATATGATATGTAGGATTTGGAATAACATGGAGTTGTTCCCCAACAGTGGAAGGTGGGAGTGAGTAACATTAATTCCTAAACGATATCTAAAAGATACTGGCAAGTTCCAGTAAACATCACACTCAAACTGTAGTGGGAAGCTGTTCTGTGCCATCTGGGGGAGGACCGTGTACTTGAGTCATGACACGAAATCTGCTCATTGACACCTCAGTACAGAAATAGTTTCATAAGAAAACCCCTGGTTGCCTAGAACACAATCAAGCCTCCTTGAACAGTTAAAGATGCTAAAGCCACAAGAAGAAAGTTCCAGTGATCTGATTGACCTTATGGAATGCATATGGAGGTTCCCACACTGCCTTATTATTTATGCCCTACGCGGTACCACCTACCTGAAAGCTCATTAAGCTTATAATGAGTATTATGGAAGCCTAAGTGCCCTAGTTAAGTGCAGGAAATGGACATCCAGAACATTCTGTATGAGCTAGGCTGTTCCAGGAGACCCAATGATTGTTCTTATAGTATTCAACGTTTACTGGAACTTCTAGCTGTGTGAGCAGTCAAGTTGGTAGAGCCAAGCTTCAGTGATGCAAGACCTAAAAGAAAGCATTGATGATGACCTATAACCCTGTTGTCGTTAGAGCGAGAGGAGATGAAGAAGATGTTGATGGTAGTAAAAGAGTTCATTGGAATGGTCGAAGGAAAATGAAGGCTAAACCATCGAAGTGCCTGTATATCGTCTTATGAAGTGTACTGGAGGAAAGTACAGTACCTATGATGCAGAGTACTAAGCGAACAACAGGTGCCGTCCTTTATCAAGCACCAAGAAGTTCACTAGGTTGTACATGTATGTAGATCTTGAGTGAAGGAAATTTGGTCCAGGATTTAAGAAGATAGCTAGAGGACCTTTTGGAAACAAAAAGTCTATGATGAAATCACCGGGTCCTCTGTAGGAGTGGGGTTTAACCTCCTAATCATTAGTAAGATGTCTTGGGGGTTAACTGTTTTTACCTACGCATCACCATTTGTGAGTGTGCTTGGGCATTGTGTAACAGATACCTTAAGAAGTGGCTAGGGATTGTTGGCATCCTTGTCCACCACCGTACTCTACAGGAGTAGAGACCAGAAAGGATTGCAGCTGGAAAAACATCTGCACTGAGTACATGTCCTCCAACGTATTTAGGGACACCAACTTTTGTAACGTCTAGTGACCCCTACAGCATAAAATGTGTACTCTAACCATTAAGGATATTGCAGACTCACAGAAAGATGTGGTCTTATTCCAAAGAGCTGAAAAGTCCGTCAGCGCCAACTTTACTTCCAAGAGTTAGTGGAGAACCTGTAGTTGGTACAACTGGCCTCGGGTTATGGGACAGATATGAGGACACAACAAGAGTGGAAACTTGCTAACCACATGGTGAGGCCCTTGATGAAGAGACACTTATTTGTTCACTTGTTGTCATAAAGCGGCAAAAACCTCTTTCTCACATGAAAATTCAAATGACATTTCACACCACGTGGAATAACGCCTGATCTATCAACATAGTCCGGTACTGTCATGCTATCCATGAAAGTGCGTCAACACTAGCAACCTAAAGCTTTGGAATATATCAGTTTCAGTAACTGTAAACTCTGCAGCATAACAAGGGACACTCAATCATAACCTCACGTTCTGCAAGGTTGCACTAAGACAGGACGTTTCAATGGCGCTATGATCCTGGTCTACGTGAAATATGAGACTGTTTCATCACAGATTTGACGAGGTTAATTCCGACATCGCAAGGAACGAAGAGGGCACGTCGGTCTTTCACAAGGCAGGCAATAAGTCGAGAAGGTTACCCTAGCTGCTGGACCCAAAAACTCATCTAAGACCCAAAGATATTTCTTTTCAGATGACAACGACTTAGAAGATTAATATTGATGGGAGGATGAGAGACAGAGGAACTTCGCTGCACATTGCAGCTTACACACTAAGACCTGTTGTAGTGATTATCACAGATATAGTAAAGTAGGGTTTATCTAATGAGCTGAAGTGTGGAAATGAGCAGAACTTTGCTGATCAGAGAAAGCGAAAGATCAAAAGATATCAGCAGATGACAGAAGTGATAGATTGAAATAAAAGCGGGAATTTACTTCTCATCAAAGTTCCTTATCACATAAGCATAAGGAATGTTAGAATGTTACCGTGGTGATAAGCTGGAGTTTACCTCTCTGGCTAGTTTCAGATTATGATCTCTGAGTATTGCTATTTCACCCTGCAGCTGCAGAGCATTAACATTCCTCGCTGTTGCTCCCACCTGAAAATAAATGATAATTAGTTATCTCAAAGTGTTTAAACTTTAAATGCTTCTAAAAAACATAACATAGTAACGAAAATTTGAGATAATTGGACACATTGAATTTAAACATATATAATAGCTTATCAAAATTAAAATACCGTACCTTCTCTTGAGCCAGTTTCTTCTCAACTTGCTGGGAGGCAGCAATAAGCAGCTCATCATCGTCATCACTGAAATCATCTTCCGAGGGAGTTGCATAAGTGTTCCCGTTCATTTGGGGTATGTTGTTTTCTTTGTTTGAGCTGCCAACTGATCTGTGTGTTTACTATGATTAGAAATTTGAGTTGGTTAAATTAGACCTACGATGGGATGATCCATTAAAAATGCAGGAAGCTGTGTGTAAGTTTAGAATATGTTTGGTTAGGAATTTAATAACAACACAATATGAACCTGCATTTTAACAAATTGATAGGTTATTTATATCAAAACAGTATCCCTGTAAGTGTATAGAACATGTATGATGTAATTCTCCTAGATTTACCTGTTTTTGTTGTAGATGTTGTGGTTCAATGGTAGCCTAAAGTTGTTGGACATACTACACAGCTTGCATGAAAAATGACCTTAAGTAATTAAAGTATCATCGTCATTTTCATCATTTACTGCAACTGAGATTCATAGATATTAAGATTGCATTGGTAACAAGAAAATAATTTTAAACTATGAATGACTGTATTTTCTTTGTGATCAATTTGTTAGTTCAACTAAATGTTTATGTAACAAGCATTATTTGACTTGATAAGCTGTACTACAGCAATTAGAATTATACAATACTATACAGCAGTGTCTTTTCTGGTATCTTGTTGCCCAAAATTCTATGTATAGTAAAACAATAATCACAAAAATCATCAATAAATTAGAAACTTCAATAAATACTGTAAAAAAACTCATTATGCTGGAAACAGAAATTCATTTTCGAGCGCTATCTCTGAGTATTTCATCACATTAGGATTGAAGGTGTCTCTGTCAGTGTATCTGATGGGTCATAGGTCTGCAATCATTGCACATCACACATTAACTCGAATTGACAGCTTTATCCACAAAAGCAGTTTAGCTTTTAAACAATTCTCATTTGGCTTGCTTTTCTAAGTAGTCCTTTGCTTCATTTATCTTTGTAGCAATGTATGGGGATCCTCCTCGATCAGGATGATTTTGGAACATTAGTTTCTTGTGAACATCTCGGACACGTTTTATTGAGGAGCTTGACGATAACCCTGAAGATTTATCAAATGTCATTCAATTTCCACTTCATTTGCTTTTGCAATCAACATGTTAAGATAAATTTAAATACATATCTAATTCCTAAACTTACCTAGAATTTTTCCAGCTTCATATTTATCCATGTCGCTTTGGAAACCTCCTTTATATCTGCTATCCCCGATTAAGCCTTGTAACTGCTTTTCCATTTTAGGCCAGCTGTTTCTAATTCTTGGGCCATATCGTGTACCAATGAATCCTACTCCAAGCAAGGCAACACCTGCAGCCATAAAACTAGACATGTCTATTTGAAACTATCTGTTGTTTGTACCATAAGCTGAGTTAGTTTGATTTGTTACAGTTAGTTACAGTATTATACAGTGCGTGTGATCATCTGTCGTATCAAAACAAATTATTTGTTACTGTGTTAATAAATTATGATATGCAAGTTTTGGTTTTTTAAAAATAAATAAACGATAAAGGTTACATCATAATTTTCAATCCTCAATTCTCATATTCACGTATATTAAATAAAATTATATTGTTATGTATCATATGATTTTGTAAAACATCGGTGTACCAAAAACCAGTCCCCAAATAAAATAAATAAATATTGATTTAAAAATACACGACTCAATGAGATTGATTCGTGATGAATGATAATTGTGAGACGTAACACAGCAGGCTACGTAGTTACGACTCCCTTTATAATTGTTCAAGGCATCTGTCAGGCCCTGTCATTCTTCACTTTTAAATTTATTTTTAAGGTCTAAAATGGCCAAACCTAGTGAACGATCTCTGGATAAAAGGGGGACATCCAAACTTGTAACTGAGCACAAAGCATCAAGTTTTTCGAGGTGGATATTAACTACATCAATGTCGAAGAGGAGATCAAAGTGTCACCCAATCTAGGTAGTGAACTAAGGAGTCCATTGGATCTTTGCAACATCACGCATCTGTGTAAAACTCTCTTGGTCGATTGAGGGTTAAAAGTCCTGCTAAACTATTTATCATCTTGTAAGGGTACACTGTGGCTTCAATGTGATAGATTTAATAACGATCACCTCAAAGGAGAAACATAATGAATATTGAATAACTTAGGAATCACCCTTACATCGGTAAAAACCTTTTATTAACTTTTATAGCAGTGGAAAGCACACTTAATTGCACTTTTACTAGTATATGTCATACTCAGGTGTACGTAGCATTTTAGTTGAATTTACAAAGTCTTTGTATGAATATCGATTACGTGTAAGAGTTAGATCATTATTATTTTAGTTGATCATTTAAATGAGGAGGGGACCTGCTAAAAGAGCAAAAATTTATTTATGATTCAGTACATGAACATTTTAATGTAATGTTAACATATCATTATCTCCTTCCCTTCAGAAAAAGATAGAGAGGATGGGAAAATAGCCCTCGCAAACTCATCAGCTGTAACTTCGTCCAAAATCACTGTTAATGATGCAAAGAAAATGTTTCCGAAAGTCACAGTTACGAATATCCCAAACAACTTAATCTCCCACATTGTCTCTGAAAATCTATCAGTTCCTGACTTTCGAGAAAAGGTTAAAACCTTTATGGAATTGAAGCTTCTGGAAAAGAATCAATATGTTAAAGATTTGGTGACTAAGCATGATAGAACATTTAAAGTTGGGTATGTCAATTATGGAAGAGACTACACTACTGTTGGGATTAAAGTGTCTCCTGACATAAGGCATTTCCTGTTAAACAATCAGTCCATTTACATAGGAAATTCCAGATGTAAAGTAGTTGATAGATTTGATCTTAAACAGTGCTTCCGATGTCAGAAACTGGGGCACATTTCATCTCAGTGCAACGAAACTGATGTTATTTGCATGTATTGTAGTGCATCACACATAACACGGGCTTGTCCCTACAAAGCAGAGGCACATATTAGGTGCGGTAAAAAAATCGAAATTATGCGGTACCGCACCCGACTATAAAGGTAAAATGTGCGGTAAGGTGCGGTAAATTTTTACCAATTATGCGGCAAATGTGCGGCGATTTTTTCGAAATTTGTGCGGGAATTGTGCGGGTTTTTTTTTGCATTTTCTCGAGGACTTTGGAAATTCTAAACGTTTAACCGCCGCTCTTATCAAAAATAGGTCTGTTTATGTGTTACTGAGGGTGTAGTTCTTTACTAAGACCATGATTGAACCTATATTGAGATTCAGTTATCTGGGAACAGTGACTTGATCTGGTAGAGATCAGGAATCAGGATACAGTTATTTGAAGACGCCTCTTGATAGAGTCGATCAGATCCCATGCGTGATCGCAAATATGTGACACGCTTGTTGGCATTGATCGTCAGTATTTGTGAACCATTTGATCCAAGATCCATTAAGCCCACTATTATAAAGCCAACGCTGCAACGAATAAAGCTCATTACCCCTAACACCTACTTCTTCTATTATCACCTACAAATGATAACTGATACACTATAATCGAAGTACGGTAACGACGAGGGTTCCATAATGGCTTGGGTCACGGTCCCGAAAGGGCCTGGATCACGGTCCCGAAAGGGCCTGGATCACGGTCCCGAAAGGGCCTGGGTAACGGTCCCGAAAGGGCCTGGGTAACGGTCCCGAAAGGGCCTGGGTCACGGTCCCGAAAGGGCCTGAGTCACGTGGCCTAAGCATGAGTTCCAAAAGGGCCTGGGTCACGGTCCCGAAAGGGCCTGGGTCAGGGTCCCGAAAGGGCCTGGGTCTGGGTCCCGAAAGGGCCTGGGTAACGGTCCCGAAAGGGCCTGGGTCAGGGTCCCGAAAGGGCCTGGGTCACGTGGTAACTGGGTCACGTGGCCTAGGTATGAGTTCCAAAAGGGCCTGGGTCAGGGTCCCGAAAGGGCCTGGGCCAGGGTCCCGAAAGGGCCTGGGCCAGGGTCCCGAAAGGGCCTGAGTCACGGTCCTAAAAGTGCCCAACTTTTAACATATTTTGGTTTTACACTCGAAAATCTTAACGCGAAAATTTCAAAATTATGCGAAATTACGCGGAAAATGCTAGATTATGCGGAAATATGCAGATAATTACAAAATGTGCGGAAATGTGCGGAAAACAATAAATTATGCGGAAGTGTGCGGAAAACGGTAAATTGTGCGATCCCGCACCCATCGCACCTAATGTGTGCCCATGCTACAAAGAGGTCAGAAGAAGTCACAGATGCACCAACTGCCACACTCCACTTATGAATCATACAGAGAATCTTGTAACACCCATCACTCTGGTGCTGAAAACTGTCCCATAATAATGCTGGAGAAAGAGAGTCTTAGACAAAGAACAGAGTACTCAAAAAACATGTGAAGACTACGCTTCTTAACCTAAATGTCGGACTGTTTAACACGAGGTCACTATGTAATAAAACTGCACAAGTATTTGAGCAACTGTCTGACTCCAATATCAATGCCTGTTTCCTGACAGAAACTTGGCTACGTAAGGGAGATACGTCAAAAATAGCGGAAATTAAAGACCTAGGCTATAATATTGTTCACCAATCTAGAGCTGGTAGAGGAGGTGGTGTCGCTATTGCCTTTAAGAAAGATCTTAGCTTCAATAAACGCCCTACAAAGACCCATAAATCCTTCGAACATGTTGAGAGTGTGCTGAAGTCAAGTTCCAATGACCTTCTTCGTTTCTGCTGTGTCTATCGATCTTGTACGGCTAAAATGTCCAAAATGACAGACTTTTTACGGGAATTTGATGAATATCTTGACAGTCTAACTCACCTTCCAGGTAGACTGATCATTGCTGGAGACTTCAATATCCATGTCGAAGACCTCACTGATCCTGATACGATAAATTTTATCCATCTCATATCAAACTATGGCCTCATCCAGCATATTTCCATTTCAACACACATTGGGGGTGGAATCTTAGACCTTGTTCTTACTAGAAGCAATGCGTGTGATATGTTGAACATAAAAGATATAGATGTAGCTAAAACAGTAACAACATCAGATCACTACTTCGTAAATTTCTCTATTGCCTTTCCTCACCACAAAGGAAGCAACAAAGAAGATATGGTGGGCAGAAAGATATCAGATATAGACATAAATCTTTTCAAGGAGGATCTGTTGCTATCTGACATAAATGACCCCAACAAGTTTATTGACTGCAACTCTGCCACGGAACTCTATAACAAAGAACTTCGCAGAATTCTTGATAAACATGCTCCCCTTATCTGTTTTAGCATTAATCCTGATCAAAGCAAGTGGGTGGACACAAAATGTCAAACTGCCAGAAGGAAACGAAGAAAAGCTGAACGTGACAACAGGAGACTTAAAACTGCAGATTCAAAATTAGACTATAAAAAAGCTGTTAAGCATGCCGAGGCAGTTATAAACACCACTAGACAGCTATACTATGAAAATCGTCTGCAAAGCTGTGAGGACAATA